TAGGTTTATATATTTTGTCGTTTTTGACGTTGCAATATGCATTTTGAAAACGCCCGCATTTTAATATTTTCTGAACAATTTTTTATTATTGAAAAGAATACACAAACATATAAAAAGTTTTCAAAAAAAAAAAAAAAAAAAAAATAATAATAAATAAAAAATAAAAAAAATAAAATCTTATGTTATCAAAGCCCTACATTGATTTTATTTTACCATGGGTGTAAATATGTCGCCAACAGCGTTTGAAATTTTACCCTACATTTTTTAACAAACCTGGTACTTACATTTACAGGATGACCGGTTGTCTAAGAAAGCAAATTTAATCAAACATTTTAATTTATATTTAACTTTATATATTTCGTTCATTCAGTTAACAATTTCCATACATAGTTTCCCATATTTTGTTGAAATAAATTTATTGTTGATTTTTTTTCCCAATTTTAATGTTAATAACTGATGGTGTTCATTTTCACATTATTTTTGTTTTTCGAAATCGTGTATTTAGTTTCAAAGAAATATGAAAAGTTATTAAAAATACCAATCATGTCATCAATCACCATCATATCATAATTGGTGTATACGTGTTAAAATAATAGGATAAGTTGGAATTTAAACACAAATACGGCTCTAAAGGCTGTTTTAACACATCACGTTGGAGTTATGTGTAAAGTACCTTTTAAACATTAATGTTTTGCATTTTTGTATTATACTTTTAGGCACTCTCCACAATTTTAAAGTAATAAGAAAAGTTTGGCGAAAATTAATTAATTAAATTAATTTATCTATAGTAGAACTATATTTTATACATAATTGTTCCATATTATATGTGGTTTTTATAGCATAGAGTTTTCTTTTAATTTAAAAAATATTGGAAGTGATTTAAAGCATACTATACAAATGCTAAATATAAATGTGAAAAAGGCCCCCTAAGTTGAGAATACCTAAAACGCTTTTCTGACAGGCTTAAGTCATCGGCTGGCTTCTTCGGAAAAGAACAAAGGAAACTAGGTCCGAAATATGAAGAAGCCAGCCGATGGCTTAAGTCAGTGTCAAAAAAAGCTTATTATGTACTTTCACCTTTAGTATGCCTCTAACATGACTTGGAAACAGATACATTGACATCGTTTCACAATATTATAAAATTATGAAATCAACAAGAAATTTAGTTAAATATTGTTGCAAATTAAAATTTTTGATAGGAAATAAACCTTGTATAACTGTACCATGGTTACATATATATTCATTTACATATTTTAAATCGAAATTTATAAATTAATTTTTTATTTTTAAATTGTACATCTTGTCGATAATTTAAATATGAGAATTCAGCTGTTAATAACTAAGAGATCCTATTGGGGTGATGATACATAAGCGGCTTGATATCGAAGCATGGCATATTAATTTCACATTACAAAGGGAAACGACGGCAGGATTTGACATTCCTTTATAAAACAAACAACTAAAAAAACCATTAGTTAGAACCCATTAGGACCCACAGATACCAATTTTTAGACAAATCTGCGAAGAAATGTGGCAAAAATCATCAAAATACCGAATAACGCGAGGTACCGATATATAGGGGCTATATCGAAGCGTGGACCTATACTTTCAATGTTTCGCCACACGAACAAAAACCAATTTTCAGACAAATCCGTAAAAAAATGTGGCATAAATTATCAAAATAACGAATTTCGGGAGGTACCGGTATATAGGGGCTATACCAAAGCGTGGATATATACATACAATGTTTCGCCACATGGCATATTAATATCACATTACAAAGGGGAACGACGGCAGGATTTGAGTCCGGCTTTGACATTCCTTTATAAAAATCAAGTAAAAAACATTAGCTAGAACTCATTAGGACCAACAGATACCAATTTTAAACAAATCTGCGAAGAAATGTGGCAAAAATCATCAAAATGTCGAACGAGGTACCGATATATAGCGGATATAGCAAAGCGTGGACTTATACATACAATGTTTCGCCACACGAACAAATACCAATTGTCAGACGAATCCGTGAAAAAATGTGGCAAAAATCATCAAAATACCAAAAAATCGGAGGTACCGTTATATGGGGACTATACCAAAACGTGGACAGATATATCTCATTTTCAATACCAACCATCGTAGACACAATACAAATTGTTTTGCTAAATGTTGACGCTCTACGTCAAATAATGTGAGCTGTATCGTAATTTCAACAGACAGACGGACACTTTATGCTGATTAAGAATATATGTACTTTATGGGGTCTACGACGAATATTTAGGTATGTTACAAACGGAATGTCAAAGTTTATATACCATCCTTTCCAAGGTGGCTGTGTCATGCCATGATGCCAAGCTGGTTATGTATCATTAACTTTAGACGGTTATGAGTTTAAAAATGCAATCAACACTAAACTTGAGCGTAGATGGTTTCCATTGGGTCGTCTCCATTCTCGGTGTTTGACATGTTGTTTTGAAATACGGGCTGCTATCGACTGCTGGGTACATACTGGACATGTATAACGGCTATAACGGTTTTTTCCATTATCTATGGATATCTTATTTTTATTGTATATGTGAGTAAAATATGTATATTTATGTAATATATAATTTTTACATTTTTCAATATTAACAATTAAAGCATTAACTTTTGTGGCTCCGTAATTGAGATATATATTTTTTTTAAACCAACTTTTACGTTTTTAGCTTTTAACACATACTTTATTCTATTGTGATTTCTTATTCGTCGTTTTGGTTTTGATTTGTATTTATTTTATATGTTTCATATTTTGATTAATGAACGTGGAATAAAAAGATGTGTTAAGATTAACTTTAAAATAAGAAAGAAAAACAACATAAACTATAATTGTAAAAAACAATTGAATATTGAAATTCATTTCATTGTAGATTGGTTGCAGTTATTTTAATGGGACAATTAATAATACACAAATGACGTACATAAAAAATGTTTTAATTTACGTACATAAAAATGTTTTATAAACTGGTCAAATTAAAAAAAATATTACAACACTATTTAATAAATTCAAGAACATTCAAAATTATTCCAAAATTGGTTATGTTTCACTGAACTTTCAAGAGGCCACATCCAGCAAAATTGTTGAAAAAAACACCGAGTTTACAGACACCAGTATTATTGCAATTTATTATACATACCTTTTGGTTCACCCTTACTGCAAAGATCGTCAATGGACTGGGATGAGGTGTTTAAGAAGAAGGATTACAATGTAATGTTCATGCAACCTGCTTAAAACAACACATTTACTACGGCTGGACCGAATGTTAATACCTTTCCCACCATATGTGGCTGATATACAGGGTGAGATGAAAAAAAACTGCAACCAAATTCAGACTGCTGTCATTTCTAAGCCACTAGTCCGACAGGTGTTAAAATTATTCCAGTGGCAGCTCATTATATTGTTTACAAGTGTACAAAACAATTTTTATTAAATTTTTATAAAAGTTATTCGTAATGGAATTCAAGCGTAATAGTGTGATTTCCTTATATTTGGCTGTAAAACCACAAGTGCCTATCGTTTGCGCACTTCAGCATTTAAATGTGAAAAAATCTTTTATGTCCCGTACCATCGCTCGTTATCGTGATACTGGTAGCGCAGTTCGTTTTCAGGGAAGTGGACGGAAGAAAACAGCAAAAATAGTTCAGCAGAAATGGTTCGAAAAGTAAAGAAGCGACTTGATCGAAACCCGCGTCGCAGTGGCCGAAAAATGGCTCGTGAGCTGAATATATCGCAATATTCCATTCGGCAAATATAGAAAAATGAGCTCGGGGTAAAGCCATTGAAATAAATAAGTGCAAGAACTAACATCGCAAACAGAAAGAAAATGGTCACAAAAGATCTATAGATGTTTCGCTTGGCCGAAAGTGGTGAACTGCCGAATTTGGTTTTCTCCGATGAGAAAACATTGGTTGTCCAACAGCTTATAAACAAACAAAGTGATCGTGGTTACTTGCCAAGGTAAACAAGGTCAGCTGAAAATGTGCACCTTAGGTTGGCCACCAGAACTGAAGCGCCGGCCATGGTGATGGTGTGGACCGTCATAACAGCCAATGGACGCTCTCCGCTCGTATTAATCGGCCGTGGCATCAGAATAAGTGCCGAATATTGTCCCGAAAATATTCTGGAGGGTGTATTAAAGCCTTGGGCACACAAACCTTTTGGCCGCAGACCTCGGACATTCCAACAGGACTCAGCACCATCGCACTCAGCATCCCCACCCAAGAATGGTAACAAAATGAAGTTCCTCGCATTATTTCCAGCACACAATGGCCCCCAAAATCCACGGATACCAATTGTGTCTGGAGTATTTTGGAAAGCAAGGTTGGCACTAAAAAATACCAAAGTGTCAATCACCTCAAGCAAGCGCTTCGCCGGAAATGGGCCAAAATACCGCAGAGCGACATTCGGGCAGCGTGTGACGGTTTCATTGGCCGTTTGAAGGCCATAATTTGTGCCAAATGTGACTAATTCGAACAAATCTAAACTTATTCTAAAATTTGATGCGCACTATCCTTATTAAATATGCATTTTCTTGAACACAAGCCGAATATATATTTATGAGAAAGACATTTTAAGCCCATTGGACTTTTAAGTTGTTTTAATTGGTCTACGTTTTTAACTTGTCATCTGCATGACCTTAGCCTCATTTATATTTGCAAGCGGTAAGTATTATGTTGAGAAAATAGCATGGCCTTGGATGTTAGATACCAATGTCCTATTTTCACACATTGTAATCAACCCATTTTGTTGTTACTTTTAAACTGTTGCAACTGTGTGTTCCCTCCTGTCGCAGGACACACCACAAAACTGTGTAGGAAAAAATCAAAAAAGAACTGTTTATTTTGTAATATTATGCGTTTTTTTTTTTTCACTTTATTAATATTTAATTTTAATAATTATTTTTATATTATAAATTAAAGCAAATTTGTTAAAATTAAGAAAAAATTACAATATTTTCCAAGAAATTATTGTCTAACTCGCATAAAAAATGTTAAATGTACTTATTGTTGTTGGTGTTGTTTAAATTAAATACAAATACGTAATACAATGTAAAAGTTGCAAAATAACAAAAAAATATATACGTGTGTAATTATCCTTATTTAACATTAAAACAAAAAGACAAAAAATATGGGATGCTATTAAAATTATAGCAACAACATCTTGATCTCACATTACAAGAAATATCTATAGAAATTTCATAAATTTCTTAACAACATTTATAAATTAAGAAGAAATAAAATATGAGAGCATATTCCGAGAAAGGGAAATTAGAAATGCATTTATGAAATAAAATAAAATACAACAAGAAATTGTGAAAGCTCTGTTTCAGTTTCGTTTTCTAAGTTATACAAAATTTTCGTTTCAATATCACAATGAAGCAATGCAGAAAAACAACATTAATACAATGCACAAATGAAAACTTAAACAACAATTTTAAATTTCCGTTACTTTTCGAAAATATACTACAAGACATGTTTGTTTAAAGAAAAGGCAAAGTTACGAGGAAACATAATCAAAATACACTACTACTGTTTTACTCTACAACAGCAACTGAGAAAGTAGCCAAATAATTAAACAATAACACATAACAATGAATTATGAAAAAGGGATTTATTTTTTTTTCCAAAACAATTTTATGTCTATGAGGTGTTTTCGGAAGAGGTCGTGGTATCTATATTGCGGGATAGTTAGTAGTAATGGTACTTTTGTGGAAGCGGGTTGGATGGGGAACAAAAATTACAAACGAAAATCAATGAATGATTCAAAACTTTAATTGTCATGTTTTACGTGGCGGTGTTGGAGGAGGCGCCGCATAATGATGCCTCATCATGTCTTTGGGAATGTTTTCGTAGGCTGAAAAATGACGGGAGTAAACAATTTGAACAAACCGGGCCGTGACGAGACCTGCTTACCTGTTCCCGCCGCATGTCCACTTGATGAGGTGGTGGTGGAGGATGATGAGGACGTTTGATGATGTTGTAACTGTTGTTGTGGTGCATGAGGATGATGGGTTGAATGATGATGAGATTGTTGTTGTTGTTGTTGTTCGTTGTGTTTTGGTGTTGTTGCTTGAAATACATCGTTGCTGTAGATTTGCTGTGGTTGTTGTTGTTGTGTGGCTGCTGTGGCCTGTGTTGTAAATTTATGACGGCTGCTTGGTGTTGTTGGCGATGCCAATGGCATTTTATTAAAAGCTGATTTCGATGCTTGTATATTGTCAGCATTAGAGCTACTGTTGCTGGACGCGCTAATCTGTTGTTGTTTACTTGCTAAATTTAAATTAGGTGGTAAGGGAGATCTTTGTGTGTCGTTACCAATTTCGCCGGTGTATCTGCAAAGAAAAAAAATATATATTATTACAAAATTAAATAGATTTTGAAGATTGTTCAACTCACTTTATATTCGTGTATTCACGACCAACTTGTATGCTTTGCTCTTCGGCCCGTTTGCGCTGTATTAATGTTTGTATGTAATGCTGTACAGCATAATAGACGAACTTGTATTGTGCCTCGGTTTGTACTAGACCAGAACGTTGGGATCGTACCATTTGTATTGTGCGTTGTATATCAATTTCGGTATCTAAACCTAAAAGTGACAAAGAAAAAAATATATGTTAGATAAAATGGTTTCATATAAAGGATTAGTTAAAAATTTGAATGCAATCAGTTTTCCAGAGAGCTTTTAAAGAAAAAAATTCAAATTACAATCAATATCATCACATCACATATTCAAATGCGAAACTTAAAAAAAAATCGGTGAATAATGTAGGGAGGTAATATTAAATGGGGGCTATACCAAAATGTGGACCAGCACAGAAAATTTTCTGCCTTAGTTTACAATATCCATTACGAACTTCAAATACCAAATTTCAAACAATTCCGATGAATAAAGTCGCTAAAATCATCAAAATACTAAATATAGGGAGGTACCGTTATATGGGGGCTATAATAAGACGTAGACCTGCACAGACAATTTTCCGTCATACGCTGTAGTATTCATTGCGAACTTCAAATACCAAATTTGAAACAATTCCGGTGAATAATGTCGCTAAAATCATCAAAATACCGAACATAGGGAGGTACCGTTTTATGGGGGCTATACCAAAACATGGACCCACATGGCCCATTTTCAATACCAAAAGTCCTGCAGACGTAATATATATTTGAGTAAAACTTTATCAATCTACTTCATTTCGTTCGGAAGTTAGAATGATTTCCACAGACGGAGGACATCGCTAAATCGACATAGAATTGTGTGCTAATTAAGAATATATATATACTTTGTGGGTGACAAACTTAGTATACCCTCCACACTATGGTATAAAATACAAATATTTACTAACAACATATCTCTTGTCTGCATGATTTTAAATTAATATCGTCCTAAGATAGATAATGCTGTAAAGAGAAGGCTTTTACTTTCAGGTCTCCAAGCGAAATCATAGATCTTATGAGCATATACATACCTTCTAAAGAACACAGATACAAAGAAATTTTTTACTTGTTATACAAGGAAGTATCCTGTTAATTTATACATATAATACCTTTCGCATTATCTGCATGGAACTCTTTAAAGTTTAAGAAGTAGGTATATAGGCCTACTTCTTAAACTTCTAAAGAGTTCCATACAGATAATGCGAAAGGTATTATATGTATAAATTCACAGAATACTTCCTTGTATAATAACTATTCAAAATAACTTTTATAGAATTTATACGATTTATACGAGTTTTTTTAAAAACATAAACGGGATACGAAGTCTATTATAAAACAAACATTGCGGCAAATCAACCATAATTAAGTTTTAATACCACCGCGCCTAGAAGTATGCCTACTAAAAAGTCTGTGGAAAGTTGTTAGTTTCCTATCGATAAAACTTTAGTTGGAATTTTTACAAGTATTGACTTGTTTACTTACCATTTCTATCGATCTGATCCAAAATCATGTCTATCACTATAAATGTACCCGTGCGACCAATACCTGCCGAACAATGCACACAAATTGGGCCCTGGAGAAGACAACAATGAGTTAGGTGAGTAATTAAAAAATATATGACATTTTTCAACTTACCGGCTTATCACCAGCCTGGGTCAATTGTCCCTGTTTTGAGTTGACATCTTGCAAGAAATTCAACACACAACCAGGATCAGCAGGTACACCGTGATCGGGCCATACCTGAAAGTGATAATGGAATATACGCCTCTCTGGCTGATCACGCCATGAAAATAAGAACTCCCTCAACGTGTAGTCATTGGTCGAGTTCTCTGAGATGCATTGAATTTTGGCGGGTCCAAATTGTTTGGTTTGCCCCTCATCTGGCCAATATTTGGCACATTTATTTTTGCCACGTTCAAATTCTTTGGTTGTCATCACTATGACACGTGTATTCTCCTGCCAAATCATGTTCCAGAAATCGGTAATGGTATTGGCCAAACAGCCCTGGGTAGCAATGTAGGTTTTGAACATTTCACGTTCGGTCAAATCATTGCTATTCTTTTTATTGAGGGGTCGTGCAATACCACTGCCATTGGAACCGGAAGCCCCTGACCGTTGCTGCTGCTGGGGTTGACTCAAACCATTACAGTTGCCCATCAATGCATTATTGGTAAGCGATTCACTGCGCTTGTGCTTATTCAAATTATCCGTTTTCTTGTTGCATGTAACACAGTTGCTGTAGGGCAGTGTAGCCGTTTTCACAGCACACTGAACGCAGGTTTTATTTAACAACTGGCAGTTGGGGCAATTCTTCTGAATTTGTGCAGCCGTACAGGCTGGACACGAGGAGACCATGGCATTTAAACTTTCCTGCGAAGCATTCATGTTATTCTGTTCACCATCGGTGGGTAAGCGTATGTAGTTGGCATTGATATACTCAGCGCCGGATATGCTATGATCGACATCGTTTAGCTTGACACGGGTGTGATCATCTGCCAAAATGAGAGAGGTGAAGGGAGGGGATTATTAAAAATGTGCAAAAGAATTATATTAATATATATGACCAAACAAGGCATGGAACCGTTATTATTCCAGTGTTGTTCAGCCATAACTTTATCTGGCTGTTTTCATATGCATTTGTTTACTTACATGGTAAAATATTTCTGTAACGATTTTTGTTGCGATTCTCCAGTTTATAGCCTTCATTACGTGAGAAAATGTCACGACTATCCTGCTGTAAAGCTTCAAATTCCTCCCAGAAGCCTCCCTAGAAATGAAAAAAGTAACAAATTAAAATTATTATTCATGTGAATACAAAACGAGTTTAAAGGTTTTTGTGCGGCAATAAGATATAAGTAAGTCTGTTTTAATTTCGAATGTTAATCGACTGAATATATTTTCGTTTCAGGTAAATATTTTCGGCGTAGGTGAGTTCATTTGTTTTTTTTTTGCTTTACTAACATTTGATGAATATAGGTGCCTATAATTATAGAAAACAAACGGAACTTGTAATGTCATTTACCGAGAGACACCTGTGCTCATTGAGGCTAGTTCACATATCCTTACTATAGTGCAGGGTGAGATAAAAAACTTCAACAAAGTCAAACGCCATAATTTTCCCATTTTTTTGAATGAAAGCAAAAATGTCGGAAATAGCATCAAATTTTAGAATATGTTTAGATTTGTTCGAATTGGTCACCTTTGGCACGAAACGGTGCCAATGAAACCGACACACGCTGCCCGCTTTGCTCTGTGGTACTTTAGCCCATTACCGGCGAAGCGCTTGCTTGAGGTGATCGACACTTTGGTATTTTTTAGTGCCAACCTTGCTTTACAAAATACTCCAGCGAGGAGTATCAGTCTTGGGTGGCGCCCAAGGCTTTATTATATTTTCACGATAATATTCGGCATTTATTCTGATGCCACCACGGTTGATTAATACGAGCGGAGATCGACCATCGGCTGTTATGGCGACCACACCATCACCATGGCCGGAACTTGAGTTCTGCTGGCCAAGCGAAGTTGCACATTTTCAGCTGACCTCTTTGGCAAGTAAACACGATTATTTTGTTTGTTTACAAACTGCTGGACAACGAATTTTTGGCTTTTCACCACTTTTGGCCAAGTGAAGCAACTCTTTAGCTCTGTTACGGTGTAAGTCCTTGCACTTTTTGGAATTTCAATGTCTTTACCCTGAGTTCATTTACAACAATTGCCGAATGGGACATTGCGATATGTTCAGCTCACGAGCCATTTTTCGGCCCCTGCGACGCGGGTTTCGATAAAGTCGATTTTTTACCTTTCGAACCATTTCTGCTGATGTTGCTGTGCTGTTTTCTTTTGTCCAGTATCACGATAACGAGCGGTTATACGAGACGAAAATGTATTCACATTTAAATGCTGAAGTGCTCTAACGATAGCCACTTGTGCTTTGCCAGCCAAATATAAAGAAACCACTATCACGCTTGAATTCCATCACAAATAACTTTTATTCTGGAAAATTCTTCACAAAATTCTTTTTTTACGCTTGTAAACAATATAACGAGCAGTCACTGGAATAATTTTAACAGCCTTCGGACGAGTGGCTTAGAAATGATAGCAGTCTGAAGTTGGTTGCAGTTTTTTCATCTCTCTCCGTATATAGTATATATGTAGTATGCGAAAAAAAAACATAAAATAAATTATGCCTCATTAATACTTCTACTTCTATAACTATATTCATCTGCTAAGTTTAAAAATTGTGCGCGCCTAAAAGTATGCTCTAAAATCTAAAGAGACATTTCTATCATGACTTGCATTATGCCTGAACTTCACATTCATCAAAATCTCATGGAGTCTCAAAGAATTTGTGAAGCAAATAATGAATGGCCATTTCGCTACTTTAAGGCAAGGGAGGATACCCGCAAATCAATTTGCTGGGTCACTAAGAAAAATTAGGAAAATTCATAGAAAACAATTCTACGCCATGCCCTCTGTATTTTCCAATGATACTCTATGTTTACAAAAATTAAATTATCAAATGTTCAAAGTTTCTATCACAGATTTGGCCCCTTTTTGTTTTAATGGCGACTTTTGTCAATATAATATTTCTGTTAATTATATACTTGAATTATGTGCCTAAAAGGTGCACACAATGCAATTCAGGTAATTGCAAAATTAATGTGTCGTTTTTGTTTTTGTTTTCAAGACTACAAAACCATAAACAATCAACTTGACGACATACAAAACATGTCGATATGTATGACAGACTGAGGCTGTTGCCGTAAAAGGTTAAGACTACTCTACAACAATCAAGCTGGGTTAGCGTTGCCATAATATGACACTAACAGCAATTGAAAATGTTACAAAAAACAAACGACGTAGCAGAACAAAAAAGTGGACTCAAATGGACGACAAAGCCAACGATCTGTCAAAGTAAGCAAAATGTTTTTTTTTTTTTTAAATAATAAAAAAGCAAACAATCAAACATTATTAATAGATTAAATCAACAATGCACATCTGATATGTATCTTGCTCCTCTCAATTCAACTTTTTCTCATCGAGTGAGAGCAAGAGCCGTAACCTTACAAATTAATACAATAATGTCATTGCTTTTATTTCTCTTCCTCTCTCATTTATATCTACTTCTACATTTACAAATTGAAAAAATCATTAAAAGCCCATGGGAACTGTCACTTTTGCGGAACTGTTTTTGTTTGAGTGACCACGTTATTTTTTTTTATCCGTTCTCCTCATATTATCATGTTTTGACAGTCAGTGTTGTGACAACTTCACTGCACTCCACTTACCTTAACCAATTGTTCGACACGAGCATTGATGCCAGCTGCAGTGATGCGTGTAGCATTAAATGGCTGCCGCAAATGGACAACCGTACCGCACGTCTCCACCATTGGATTGCGTTTGTAGTGTTCAATTAATTCCGATAATGTATTGAATGGTTCACCACCGCCAACATCGTATTTGTTGTCCTGGAAAAAAAGGTCAAAGAAAACAAATGAAAACGACAGTCAATGTGAAAAAGTGTTCTTATTAATTAATTAATTGAAATCATGAATGTGAGATATGTAATAAAATTGAATGATGAATTGATAAATATCCGTTTAGGGACATTTGAGAAATGGATAATCAAAATGGAAACACAAGATTGAAAATTTTCATTTAAAATGTGAAAAAAATGACTATTTTGATCATTGATATCTTGAATATGTCAATGATTTAAGAGCTTGAACTACGCACTGGTTGTAATTCCTTTGCGGAATTAGTACTAAAGAACTTTCAAAAATATGTTAATTTGACAGTTTTGAAAATTGAGGTACGTATGAGTATTACTCAGGTTTTCACACTCATACGCCACTTTTTTTTTTTTCAAAATATTCATCGTGGAAATTATTACAATGACAATCCCTAAATAACATACGTAAATTCAGTTCTATTACTTTTGGGTAAATAAATTAAATAGTTTTGGGTATCTCAAAACGTATGCTTGTTGTTTGACAATTATACGCCACCATGCAACACGTTCATAATAGTCCATTTGAAGTTGAATTGATTTTTTCGGAATTTTCTTAAAAACGTTCGGCTGTATATGTAAACGTCTGACGTCATTTTTTTTGATTGCTTTATCCCTATTGAATTTCTAAAAAAATCCCACTTAGCTTATTGTGATAAACATTAATACTGTCACAGATCTCAGAATCAAATTAGTATGAATCGAGAGCATAAGGATTTTTCAAAAATTGTTCAACCATAAGCTTTAATAATCTTTGGCAATTATACGCACAATAGTACATTTGAACAAATAATGGGAATGAAATTCGAATTCAAGATTTTATTTTCCGTCTGTACAGGGTGAGATGAACAACTGCAACCAATTTCAAACTGCTGTCATTTCTAAGCCACACGTCTGATAGCTGTTAAAATTACTTTAGTGACAGCTCATTCTATTGTTTACAGGCGTACAAAAGCATTTTGATGAGAATTTTCCAGAAAAAAAATTTCGTGATGGAATTCAAGCGTTTATTTGGCTGGAAAACCACAAGTGGCTATCGTTAGAGCACTCCTGCATTTAAATGTGAATAAATCTTTTGTGTCTCGTACCATCACTCGTTACCGTGATACTGGTGCCGACGTCAAGGAAGTGGACGGAAGAAAACAGCAACATCAGCAGAAATGGTTTGAAAAGTAAAGGAGCGACTTGATCGAAACCCGCGTCGCAGTGGCCGAAAAATGGCTTGTGAGCTGAATATATCACAATATTCCATTCGGCAAATATTAAAAAATGAGCTCGGAGTAAAGCAATTGAAATTTCAAAAAGTGCAAAAACTTACACCGCAACAGATAGAAAATAGACTAAGAGGAGATAAAGAGTTGCTATGCTTGGCCGAAAGTGGTGAACTGCCGAATTTGGCTTTCTCCGATGAGAAAACATTCGTTGTCCAGCAGTTTGTAAACAAACAAAATGATCGTGTTTACTTGCCAAAGAGGTCAGCTGAAAATGTGCACCTTCGGTTCGCCAACAGAACTCAAACGCCGGCCATGGTGATGGTGTGGGCCGCCATTACAACCGATGATCGCTCTCCGCTCGTATTAATCGACCGTGGCATCAGAATGGTTACAAAATGAGGTTTCTCGCTTCATTTCCAGCGCACAATGGCCACCAAAATCTCCGGATACCAATCCGTTGGACTATTGTGTCTGGAGTATTTTGAAAAGCGAGGTTGGCACTAAAAAATACCAAAGTGTCGATCACCGATCAAGCAAGCGCTTCGCCGGGAATGGGCCAAAATATCGCAGAGCAACATTCGGGCAGCGTGTGACGGTTTCATTGGCCGTTTGAAGGCCATAGTTCGCTCCAAAGGTGACCAATTCGAACAAATCTAAACTTATTCTAAAATTTGAGGCTATTTCCGAAATTTTTTGTTTTTATTCAATAAAATTAAAAAAAAAATGTAAAAATTATGGCGTTTGACTTTGTTGCAGGTTTTTTGTCTCACCCTGTATATCATCTTCACAACAGATCTTTTATTAGCAAAAATGTTTGTACGTGTGAAATTTGAGGAGAGTTGGATGCTTATTTAGCTTTCTTTGAGCGTTTTGTTTTTCATAATCTTGAACCCTGTGTGGGAGATTTACCAGAAGAAATGGTCCGATCTCTACCATCTTTATAACAGATTTTGTGTTGATGGAAATATTGAGATTTACCAAGTCTGAATGGAACCCGATGTTAATTTCGCGTTTTATGAGCTTCATGGATCTCAAAAATTTGACTCTTTGTCGGGGAGGTACCACAAGGAGTGGACTGATATATCCCATCTTCACAACAGATCTTGTGTTAGTAGACATAATGGTATGTGTGAAATATAAAGAGAACCTGATGCTTAAATCGCATTTTATTCGTTTTGGTTATTCAAAACTTTAACCCTTTGTGTAGAAGGTACCAGAAGAAATGGTCCGATCTCTACCATCTTTATAACAGATCTTGTGTTGATGGAAATATTGAGAAGTCTGAATGGATCAGGATGTTAATTTCCTGTCTTATGAGCTTCATGAGTATTCAAAATTTTGACCCTTTGTGGGGGAGGTACGTGACCGATATTGTCCATTTTCGCACCTAACCTAGCACTGATACACATATTAGGATTTGCAAAGTTGGATCACCATCGGATTATCCTTATTCGTTCTGTGCAGTAAATTATTTTCTTTGAAAATGTTGACATTTTGTAAGGGGAAGGTATCAGAAGGAGTAGACCGATATTGTCCATCTCCGAACTCGATCTAAGTTTGACAATAATATTACGATGTACCAAGTTTAGATCGAATCGGATACTCCATTCGAGAGTTATCGTGCGGCGCACAAGCCAGTCAGACAGACAGACGGATGGACGGACATTGCTAGATCAACTCTGGCTGAGGGTATAAAAAAATGAGACCTCATGTCGTACTAATTGGTGTTAAAAAATCATTTTGCGCCACAGACAATTCATTTTACCACTCTTTTCTATTGATTTATATATTGAAAATAATATATTATTTGCGGATACATTTCCAAAAAATTCAAAAACACTTTTTCTCCAATATTATAATTAAAAAAATGGTCGTAATTGTTGAATCGAATCCCGGAATATGTGTTTTATCTATTATTACATTTTCCCATTTTCAGTTTCTGTTCCTCTCCTTAAATTAGCTTCCTATTTATAAGGCGTTGCGGTTCAAAAGAAAATTGCGTGCCCATCCTTCAAGAAAATTGTTGAAATGAAATCATTATTATACTATAAACCTTCTATCCACTGACCTTAATTTCGTCGAAATTGATTTTTCTTAGAACATTTTCTTTCTATTATACATCATTGTCAGGTTAAAATATTTAATAACATTCCCAAGAGCCTTGCCAGAAAAAAAAACTTTTCTAATTTATGGACATCTTTTATGGATTTGTTTTCAGCAAAAATTTACACACAATCAGCAGAAATACAAAAAAATTAGACATTAAAGCTCAGTTCTAGCTTAAACAGAATTAATAAATTTCTTTTTTGTCTGTGTCTGTGTTTGTCCCATTCCAATAGCAATAACAACAAAAAAATTAATTACTCTCACCCAAACTAAGCTGTTGTCATTTTAAGTATGGCTGGCTGGCGGGCTAGCTGGAAAAAAAATTGGAATTGAAATTGAACTCGAAAATTGTTTGTGTCTACAAAAAGGTAGATAGCTTGGTAGGTGTGTGTGGCGCAAATTGAAAATTAGCTGGATGCAATCATGTACATACATACATACACCCCATATCGATATAGTTTTTGCCCGTCTGTGTGTATTTGTAGTTTTGCCTGTTGTTGGATTTGTGTTGTTGTTGCTGTTTTTTTTTTCGTTCAAGGTCATAAATAATAAGGAAAAACTTTACAATGTTTAGTTGAACTTGAAATTTTGCTAGGTTGAAATTGCTGTTGTTATGGAGGTATTTTTACACAACAACTTCCATGAAAAAATCTATAAAATCGCGATTTTTGTTTAAAACATTTTTTTACTTTGTTGTTAAATGCCAATTAGTTTATTTTTTCGTTTGACGATTAAGCCATTTTGTGAGGAATGGAAAAAAATATTTCAAAAACATACCTGCCAACGTATCATGACATGTGTAACTTTATCGTCTGTCCTTACAGATAAGACAAAATCGCCTGGTTTCGATTGCGATTCACGGACCAGAAATGAACCATTCTTTCCACGCTCCAATAACAATTTTTCACCTTCTTTACCAGAAAGATTGCCATGAAACCATCTGAAAATATATGAAAAAAAGGGCAAAATATTAAAAATCAATCAATACCAAAATTTTAAATATTTATAGGAATACACAAAGGAACACAACCTTCTAGCAACACTTCTTCAGCAGTCCTGCTCTTTACACTTTTATTCAAAACTTTACTTAATTTTGGATATTGTAATTCCCACTCAAGTCCTTTGCTTTGGCTTAACAATTGCGTACTAATTGTTTGTTTTCAAAACACTGACATTCCCCCGTAAATATGACACAATTTGCAAAAGCTCTTTTCTTTGAAATTTGTTTTAGGCTATGGCTTTCAAACTGTAGCCATCGGATTGTTTGTTCTCATGTCGACTACTCTCAACTAACTCTTAGTGTTATTCTCAGAGCCAACAGCCGTTAAGTTAAGAACATCTGTTGAAATTGAACGAAAGCTCTGCTTTGGTTTATATGCATGAGATGTATGGGATGAGAGTTGTTTTGTTCCCTCTCTCATCGCTCTCTGCTGTGTTTTCCAATATTCACAATATGGATTTTTGTATCACCTGTTGCTCAGCAAGCACGTGTATTTGAAACTTTGGCCATTTGTTCTCTACGACGATAAACAGTTGACTGTATCGTTGTGTTGGTAAACAAAATATGCAAATATAAGTAATAGGTTATTTCACGTTTAGACGATAGGATTTTCCATAACAAGTTATGGCCAGAGATGGGGAAATGATATTGAAAAAGGTGTATTTATTTTGAAATCCAATTATAATCCAGCCATGCCATTCTATGGAAAGTTAACTAAACGAAAGGAGTAATTAAAATTAAATTTGTAATCTATAAACGGTTTAAAATGCAATAATAAAGAGTTTTCCAATAAGAGGTGTTATTTTGGCATTTTAACGAAAAATTTCAATTTTTTGAGATAAATTATCGGAAGTTTATTTCACAATAAGGAGGAAGGTATGCCGTTAACAATGAAAAATAATATAAGCCGAATTCCCACAAAGAAAACGTTTACAAGACCATATATATTTGTGTGTCCAATTTTCTTGGACATTTTTGACAGAAACATTAAAAATATCTAAAACGCAGGAGGTACCTTTCTAAAGATAAATCAAAATGTGGATCAATATATACTAACAAAAAAAAAAAAAAAAAGCCCTATAGCGATATAAGATTTCAGGATATGACGGTTTCTTATGGAGGCTATATTGAGTTTGTCATTCCGTTTCTAACGCCTTGAAATGTGCCTTTTAGATCCAAGAAAGTATATATATTCTTGATCAGCGAAAAATTCTATGTCGATTTAGCCAAGCCCTTCTGTTCGTCTGTTCTAATCACGCTAATTGCATAGCGTGATCTATTAACTGCAGCTAGGTCAAATTCGAAAATGAGCTATATCGGTCAACGTTTTCATATAGCCTCATATAATTGTACCTCCACATGTTCGGTTGGATTATATTTTACTTCAATTTCTAGAGAAACGGCTTAAAGTTCGGTATTTGAAGTTTATATTGGGTTTTACCTCCTATAGTCCCTATATAATTGTACCTTCCCATAATAGGTATTTTCATGATTTTAGCCTCAGAATAGCTTAAATCTAGGTATTTGGAGTACTTTATGAGTTATATATACTGTGGTAGAATATTATACATATAAGTCCAAGTTTTCGTTTAGCCAACCCTTATAATTGTAACTCCCGTTATTTGATATTTTGACGATTTTAGACACAGTTTCTGGTGTAATAGCCTAAAACTTGGTATTTGTAGTTCATAATAGAATAACGGCCCATTCCCATATTCGGTATTTTGATCATTTTAGCCTCAGTTTCTAACGTAATGGTATTAAATTATGAGATCTACCTACTGCGGCAGAACTTGTCCATATATGTTTATGTTATCCTATACCTCCCATATAACGTTAATTCTCGATATTCGGTATTCCCAGACTATTTTTACATGATTTACTTTCCAAATGGTGAAGAGTATTAAAAGGTTCGGCCCGGTCGAAACTTAACTACTATTTTACTTTTATTTGTATTTGTATATTTATTCCTATTCCTTGTTTAATATTTTGAGAATTTTGGAATAAAATATTTTCAATTTTTTTTGCCCACATTTATACACCTCCTGTTTTAAAAAAGGATTGAAAAAATCTCAAATTTCATCCCATTCCCCAGACAATTATTTAAAATTCCCCTTATAAAAGTAATTCTCTAAAATATTATATTTGCACATTTCTCTCAGGTGTAAATGTGTTTGTGTGTATGTGTGTGCCTGAGTGCTTATCATGATTTTAATGGAATTTTTTGTTATTATTAAACGAGAATTCTTGACGATCATTTAAATGAAATGTGTATTTAACAAATATTTCTTGTATCTATCTCCACCAGAGATCAAATATTTAATAACATCATAAAAATAAAGATAAAATAACCTCTGTTCGTACAATCCCCCTATATTTACCAGGATGGAATAATTTTAGAACAAGGCTTTTCAGGGGTGAGAGATTGAGTAAAATTAAAAGAAAAATGTTTCATATTATCATTGAAAAAAAAAAAAAAAAAATAAAATAAATAAATAAAAAATGCAACATAAAAGCAAAAATATAAGGCCAAGTACGGCTGGGCCGAACTTTTATTTCCCTCCACAAATTTTTTAATGAAATTGCGAAATGTAAAAAATTTGGATAAAAATCATCACAATAAGAAGTGGACCTTCATAGGTATTTTTCTGTCATTACGAACCCCAAATACCAAATTTGAAACAATTAAATGATATAAATCATCAAAATACCAAACATCGTTAGGCACATTTGTATGAAGGCTATACGAAAATCTGGAACCTATTCCTAATACCAAATATGAACTTTAAAAAAATTTCGTTGAGCAATGTGGCTGAAATAATCTAAATACCGAATATAGGGGCTACCATTATATGGGGGGTATTACAAAGACCTTGTTCAGTACAGGCAATTTTCTGTGATAGGAAATTGTACTCACGCCACAATTTTTTATTTATTTTTTTTTTTTTCAAATTTTATTGAATGAAAGCAAAAAGCGATGGTTGCTCTCCGCTCGTATTAATCGACCATGGCATCAGAATAAATGCCGAACATCATCTCGAAAATTTTCTGGCCGCAGACCTTGGACATTCCAACAGGACTCAGCCTTATCGCACGCAGCACGCGCCACACAAGAATGGGTACAAAATGATGTTCCTCGCTTCATTTCCAGCGCACAATGGCCACTAAAATCTCCGGATACCAATCCGTTGGACTATTGTGTCTGGAGTATTTTGGAGAGCAAGGTTGGCACTAAAAAAATACCAAAGTGTCGATCACCTCAAGCAACATTCGGGTAGCGTGTCAAGGTTTCATTGGCCGTTTGAAGGCCACAATTCGTGCCAAATGTGACAAATTCGAACAAATCTAAACTTATTCTAAAATGTGATGCTATTTCCCACATTTGTTGCTTTCATTCAAAAATATTTTAAGAGAAATGTAACAAATTATGGCGTTTGACTTTGTTGCAGTTTTTAAAATTTAAATTGACTTTTCCACAATAACCTGTATCTTTTTACATCCTACGTTGAGGCACTCCCAGGAAATTTTTATCAAAAAAGAAACGTTTCATAGTTTAGTATAAATCAATATAGTTATACTACAAGTAAAAACTACATAAAATACAACTAGGTATTTCTAGTAAAATGTAGTATATAGTCTATATGGTGTATCGTTACATTTAAGTTTTCAAAATTTTTGGGAGCTCCTTAAAGTATGCCATAGAAATTTTAAATATAAAATACGAAATAATCACTTTACATATCACTTTGACATTAAGTGTAATTCAGCCTTTACGTAGAGTGCGAACTGAAGAATGTATCACAGCTATATCGACCAGTCTTATTGAAGACCCTCAATTATTGAAAATTTATTTCGCTTTCACGACTGGATTGGGGTAAGTTGGCCGCCTAGATCGAGCGATTTTTTCACTTTAGTACTATTATTTGTGGGGCTATTTTAAGACTCCTGTCTACACCGAGACGACCCCTTTTCAATTGACACATTGGTAGAGAACACTGAAACATTTATTATGCGATGTCGACCGAAATGTTGGAAAGAGTATGCCAAAGTTGGATTAAGTGGAGGGCCATTTGAGGCATTATTTAAATTATATGGACTCTACATCAAATCCAATAAAAATTTCATTAATTTTTCTGATTTTTTTGGAATTTTTAAGAAATATTTTTTTTAAATTCTCTCATATTTTACATACATTTGTTTTTCCCGCAGTGAAATAATTAGAACTACCACTTCCTTGCATAAGCTCATGTTTTTCATGTTGTAAGACAGAACAAGTTCCCTTTTTAGTTCCGCATCTCACAAAAACAAAAGCAACAACAATAAAATTGCTTCGATCAATTGTTTCCCCCCCCCGCAAAGTTTTTTATTACAATTTAATTTGGCTTTCTATTTTAAACCAGTTACATTTGATTAAATTCAAAAGGGGGATTTACTACAACTGTTGTTGTTGCTGCTGTTTTAATATCTCAAAGTTTGTATTAAAAATTTCCGGCAAAAGGGCAAATAAATCAACAAACACCATCGCCAGCCAGCCACTGCCAGCAAACAACGGTATTGACCAACAGCTAGAATCGTTGTTATTTATAGATTTCGATTGTAAACAAATTTAAAAACAGGTATTGGTTTTTTTTTTGAATTATCTAGATTAATTCCTTTAAATTAAAATCAAAAGTAGTTTAAATTATTTCCACATCAAAAAAAAAAAAAAAAAAAAAAACAATGTTATAAAAAATGTTTTAAAATACCAAGAAAGTTGTAAAACTTGTTTGTTTCGTAGATGTGGTGTGCGATAGTTGTAAGCTTCTTAGTGAAGATTAAATGTGCAAACAGGCAGGCATCCGATTCATTATTTAAAGTTGCAAAGTGTAATAATTGTTTTTTATGGATTATTTATGCACACACACACACCTCTAGGCATTTTATGTGGCATTTCAAAATAT